TACCAACTACAATAACTGCTTGGTTTGCAGTAGCAGATATCTGAAGTCCCAATGGGACTCCTGATAGGCCAGTGACTGTTTGTCTCTGGCAGCCTTGAGTGTCATGCAAAGGCACTTCAAGTGGCATGCCTGGCACACATACCATAGGTTGCTGACCACTGTTATAAAAAGATAAACATTTTACATAGTTACATAGTTACATAGTTACATAGCTGAAAAGAGACTTGCGTCCATCAAGTTCAGCCTTCCTCACAAATGTCGTTGCTGTTGATCCAAAAGAAGGCAAAAAACCTGGTCTGAAGCGCTTCCAATTTTGCCCCAAACTAGGAAAAAATTCATTCTTGACCCCAAAATAGCAGTCAGATGTCTCCTTGGATCAAGCAGCTATTACCCCACTAATTAGAAATTATATCCCTGTATGTGTGATGCTTTTGTGTAATACCTCTTTAATTGGAACTCAACTGCAGAATTTTCTGAGGGCAGGAACAGTAAGTTTCACCTCCTATTATATTGGAGTGAAATCAGTGGACTGTATCTTTAAATAATAATCAGGAAAATGCCAAGTTAGTTCCAACTTGAATTTTAATAATGAAGTTTTAGCCTTAGCAGCAATCCTTATTTGTCAACAGAGAGTTTAAAGAAATTAAATACTATAATTAATTGATATGACTTGCTTTCCTTGACAAAAGATTTACTTAACTTAGAAGCACTCTGGCACTGGAAGGGTTAATTCACCCAATGGAGGAAGAGGAAGGAGTCTCTTTTAACAAACTGCAGTTTAGTAGTGAGAGAAAGGAAGTCCGTTTGTCCAAGCCGAGGTCTGAGAGAGGAGAAGGTAGAAATCCGTTTACAAGCCGAGGTCTGGGAGAGGAGAAGGTAGAATTCCGTTTATAAGCCGAGGTCTGAGAGATGAGAAGGTAGAAATCCGTTTACAAGCCGAGGTCTGAGAGATGAGAAGGTAGAAATCCGTTTACAAGCCGAGGTCTGAGAGATGAGAAGGTAGAAATCCGTTTACAAGCCGAGGTCTGAGAAGTGGAGCCGGTAGCATCGAGTAGAGCAGCTGATCTCACTGCCGCACCTGAGTGAATAATCCAGCACTTTGAATCTGGCGCGGTCTTCCTAAGTATCGTGGAAAGACCGCGTCAGAAAAAAGGGACGGAGCTAAGCGCCGTGAACCCGGAAGTGGGTTCCGGCGGCAGCATGAATGTTAGGTATACCTGACAGTATGTTATGTTTTTGTAAGTATTTATCCAATTTCAGTTTAAACATCTGTATGGACTCTGACAAAACCACCTCTTCAGGCAGAGAATTCCATATCCTTATTGTTCTTACTGTAAAAAAACCTTTTCTTTGCCTTAGATGAAATCTCCTTTCTTCCAGCCTAAATATGTGACCTCGTGTCCTATGTATAGCCCTGTTTATGAATAGATGTCCAGATAAAGGTTTGTACTGGCCCCGAATAAATTTGTATAAAGTTATCATATCCCCTCTCAGGCGCCGTTTTTCCAAACTAAACTGTTTTAATTTTTTTAACCTTTCTTCATAACTAAAATGCTCCATTCCTTTTATCAATTTTGTAGCTCGTCTCTGGACCCTCTCCAGTGCCATGATATCCTTCTTTAGAACAGGCGCCCAAAATTGCACAGCATATTCAAGGTGTGGTCTTACCAGCGATTTATAAAGCGGCAAAATTATATTTTCATCCCGAGAATTTATGCCCCTTTTTATACATGCCAAAATCTTACTGGCCTTAGCAACTGCAGCTTGACATTGCATATTGCTGCCTAATTTGTTGTCTATAACAATTCCCAAATCCTTCTCGTGTGTGGTTACCCCTAATTCACTACCATTTAGTGTGTAAGTTGCATGTGCATTCTTAACCCCGAAGTGCATCACTTTGCATTTCTCTGTGTTAAATTTCATCTGCCACTTTAGTGCCCAGGCCCCCAATCTATCCAAATCTCTCTGCAGCAAAGCAATATCCTGCTCACATTTTATTACTTTACAAAGTTTTGTGTCATCTGCAAACACTGATACATGGCTTTCAATGCCTATTTCAAGATCATTTATAAATATGTTAAATAGAAGTGGTCCCAAAACAGAACCCTGAGGGACACCACTTACCACTTTTGTCCAGCGTGAAAATTTACCATTAATTACAACTCGTTGTACTATATCCTTAAGCCAATGTTCTACCCAAGAACAAGAATATTCATCTAGACCAATTTCTTTTAGTTTGAAGAAATTTAATTTTAATTTACAATTACTAGATAAAATAAAGAAATACAAAAATGAGTCATAATTTTTTTTTTTTTTAAATATCTAAAGTCAACTGGGGATTGATGTGTTATGTTGGAATAACTCCCTTGGATTTTTTGATGTTTATAAAATGCCAAAATGCTTCAAAATGTGATGCAAACAAAGATTGAGAAATATAGATATAAATCATTTAAGCTATGTAGAATACATTTATTTATGAGCTGTGCAGATAAGCTCAGGAAATGATGGACACATATTTCATGAGTCAGTCAAAAATAATTTAAATCATTAAAGCCAGGAGCTAGTCAGTCTAGCAGTAGTTTAAAGAAAACAACCTGCCTGTTGAGTTATCACAGCTTATCCTGCATATAACGTGGGCTTCATGCATACTAATTGAATGTTTGTGTGTCTGAAATTAATATATACGTGTGTTGTCTAATGTATGTAAAGTCAACTTAAATGAGTTTAAAATGTGCAAATTTACAGTTAAAAATAATTTAATATGAAACTAATATCAGTACCATTTAAGACAGTATTGCTAATTTCCTCCAGCTGGATATTAACTCTTTGCTGGGAAACTAGGCCAAATATGACTGGACAGTAATTAACATACATTATGTTCCATTTATTATGTTGTTTATCGAAATGTTTGAAGATAATAGAGTATTACTATGTTAGTAATAGTCTGGATGCACTCAATGTACCCATTATTAAATGGCAATGCACTGCATATCTAGTCAGGGGCATATTTAATTAAAGTGTGGTCATCATGTACAGATAAAATGGCAAAATTGTACTAAGAAGAAAATATTAGTTGTATGTTATATTGGCCAAAATTTTAACAATATGCAGATTCTATTCTACCTTATCGTATTTTGATCTTGGGGCTTTTTTTTTATGCGAAAACTGCCAATGAAAGCGTTCAATTTAATATTGTTAGATTAGTTTTCCAAATTATTTAATATTTCTGGATAACCTTTTAAAACAAGTTAAAATTATGATTTTTTAAAATTTATTTTAATATTTATATATATATATATATATATATATATAAAAGGGAAAAAAGTATTTGATCCCCTGCTGATTTTTAACGTTTGTCCAATGACATAGAAATGATCAGTCTGTAATTTTAATGGTAGGTGTATTTTAACAGTGAGAGACAGAATAACAAAAACAAAATCCAGAAAAACGCATGTCAAAAAAGTTATAAATTGATTTGCATGTCAATGAGTGAAATAAGTATTTAATCCCCTATCAATCAGCAAGATTTCTGGCTCCCAGGTGTGTTTCATACAGGTAACAAGATAAGATTAGGATCACTCTCTTAAAGGGAGTGTTCCTAATCTCAGCTTGTTACCTATATAAAAGACACCTGTCTACAGAAGCAATCAATCAATCAGATTCCAAACTCTCCACCATGGCCAAGACCAAAGAGCTGTCCAAGGATGTCAGGAACAAGATTGTAGACCTACACAAGGCTGGAATGGGCTATAAGACCATCATCAAGCAGCTTCGTTAGAAGGTGACAACAGTTGGTGCGATTATTCGCAAATGGAAGAAACACAAAATAACTGTCAGTCTCCCTTGGTCTGGTGCGCCATACAAGATCTCACCTCGTGGAGTTTCAATGATCATGAGAATGGTGAGAAATCAGCCCAGAACTACATGGGAGGATTTTGTTAATGATCTCAAGGCAGCTGGGACCATAGTCACCATGAAAACAATTGGTAACACACTACGCCGTGAAGGACTGAAATCCTGCAGCACCCACAAGGTCCCCTTGCTCAAGAAAGCACATGTACAGGCCCATCTTAAGTTTGCCAATGAAAAGCTGAACTAATCAGAGGAGAATTAAGCGAAAGTGTTGTGGTCAGATGAGACCAAAATCGAGCAGTGTTTAGAGGAGGAGTAATGCTGCCTATTACCCCAAAAACATGGAGGTGGAAACATTATGCTTTGGGGGTGTTTTTCTGCAAAGGGGATAGGACAACAGCACCGCATCAAAGGGATGGGTATGCAAGCATGACAATGACCCAAAACACACAGCCAAGGCAACAAAGGAGTGGCTCAAGAAGAAGCACATTAAGGTCCTGGAGTAGTCTAGCCAGTCTCCAGACCTTAATCCCACAGAAAATCTATGGAGGGAGCTGAAGGTTCAAGATGTGAAACCTTAAGGACTTGGAGAGGCTCTGCAAAGAGGAGTGGGACAAAATCCCCCCTGAGATGTGTGCAAACCTGGTGGCCAACTAGAAGAAACATCTGACCTCTGTGATTGCCAACAAGGGTTTTTCCACAAAGTAAAATGGGTCAAATACTTATTTCACTCATTGACATGCAAATCAATTTTTTAACTTTTTTGACATGCATTTTTCTAGTTTTATTTTTTTTGTTATTCTGTCTCTCACTGTTAAAATACACCTACCCTTACAAATAGACCTACTTTTATCTATAAGACTCCCAAAATACATACAAATAAAAATTGTATCAAATGTAAGTTAAAAAATAAGTAATGGAGGAGGGGCGTGGCTGCTGCAGAGCTGAATAGCTGAGCACTGATCCAGCTATCTGAGGCTCAAGATTCAATCTGACCTAATCAGAGATTTTGGAACAGGGTGGGAAACTCAAAAAAACATAATCCAACTTAGGGGGCAGAAGGGAAAACCCCAGCTACAAAATCAGGCTCCTTGACGGTTTTTTTCCGTGATTTTGCAGACCACGAGACGGAGGCAGTGGATGGCAAGATGGCGACGCGGGAAAAACATACCGCATCTCCTCCAACCAGCCCAGCTCCCTCTGAGTACTCTAATGTATCCCAAGACACATCACTGGAGGCAGACATTAAAGCTTTGCTGAAAAACTTACCTTCCAGGGCTGACTTGGCCGCAATGCTCGGTAAGCTGGAGGCAGCGTTTCAAACCAAAATGGAGGCAATGAGCTTTACTATGGAAAGCCAAACACACTTCCTATACTCTATACACCGTCACATTGATGAATTAGATAACCGCAGCCACAGAAACAACCTAAGAATCAGGCCCAAGGGGAAGATGTTTCCACCCTGACTAAGCTTTTCAACTTGATTCTTGAAGAAGCCAGCGACAATCAAATCTTATTAGACAGTACCCACAGGTCGTTACGCCCGAGAGGATCAGCTGTGGTGGCTCCTAGAGATGTGATATGTCGTGTACATAACTTTGCTATTAAGGCTAACATCCTGAGTGCTCTGAGGGACAAGGCTCAGCCACTATTATTTCACGGGACCCAATACAAATTCACCCGGACCTGTTATGGTTCATAGAACACTTAAGGAACCGCAACATAAGGTATCGCTGGGGCTTCCCATTCACTTTAACAGTGAACCACCAGGGCACAAGCTACTCTATAACTACACCTCTGGATGTGAGACCCTTTCTGCGAGCGCTAGAGCTCCCCGATACACAAGTTGTAGATTGGTGCAGACCTCAAACCAATCGAAATCAAGATCAGGCCAGGCTTCCACAATGTCAATGCTGGAACACCCTGGCAAAGAAAAGAAGACCGGACCAAATATTATTCTCACCCCAACTAAAGAATCCTCTGAATCAATGAAGGAACCACAATTAACCACACTTGGTATGATAAAAATCCCACCTCCACCCCCCTTCCCTGAATTCACAGACAACATGAAAGGACAAAATATGCCGGATAGCACCACCACCAGCCATTAGGTCCACATTTCTGGAATACAAATTCTTCAATTGTAAAGAACCATGCACCATGTAAGACCCTCAACGATGTCACCATGGTGATTCGAGACATATCCAATGAAGTCAACTTGCAGCGATCTCCCGTTGTCTCAATCACCTCACAAACTTTCCACTCAGCTTCAAGAAAGGTCCTTGGCCTTGATGGGAGGTTCGTACACTCCACAGGTCATATACAAAAGTGCAAATATTATATAACAGAAAGGGACAATATTGTTGTGCTCATGCAGTAAATGTCTTACATGCATAAATGGTTTGAACAAATCCGTGAACATGACCCCTGGCCAATCTCCACCTTCCCTACCCCTCTCTCCTCCTAAACCCACCACAAATCTCCTAAAGCTGCAGAACTAAACTACTGTAGTGATTGAACAACCTCGGGTCTCACCACCACCATGTTTCCCCCGCACTCCAATATATAGAGCTTTGTCTCCTGCACAGAGATTGAGCCATTAGTCTAGATAAATTGTATGAGATATAAACACCATTGACTCTTTAGCTCATAATTTACATCCCCTGTATTTATTGATACTGTTAATATTGTTATTGATTAATGTACGCAGATACCTACAATTTCAAAACGTCTAACTTCATATTTCCTGTTTAGACCAATACTATCTAGCACCAAGAGTAATGATCACACGTGACCGTGCTCACTGCCTGTTCTTTTAGCTAATTTTCATATTGTATTTACTAATTTTATTTCTTTAGTGAACTGTATATAAGTTAGTATTACATATCTGTCAGCGATTTTTCCTCAGTAAAGCTCAGATTGCCCTTCCCTTGAAGACTCAGAGAAAGTAATACATAGTTCCGCAGATTTAGCAATGGGACTAAACTTCAGATGCTCCCCGCCCCCGCACTCAGCACACCTGCTGACACTATGACCTCACTTCGTATACACACGAACAACGACCGAGGGCTAAATGTAGCAGAGAAACGATCCATGGCACTAACAGACTTTCAAAGGCAAAAAGCAGAGATAGTATTTATTCAAGAGACACACTTTCAAAAGGACTCTGCCCCGGCATTACGTAACCGTAGATACTGTTATAATGTTTGCAGATGACACAAAACTCTCTAAAGTATTACAATGTGAGTAGGATATTACTTTGCTGTACAGGGATCTAGATAGACTGGGGGACTGTGCATTCAAATGGCAGATGAAATTGAATGTAGAAAAATGCAAAGTTATGCACTTCAGGGTAAGGAATGCACAAGAAACTTATGCCCTATATGGTAGTGAAATATGGATAACAACACATGAGAAGTATTTGGGAATTGCTGTAGACAACAAACTAGGCAACAATGTGCAATATCAGTCAGCAGTTGCAAAGGCCAGTAAGGTATAGTTATGTATAAAAAGGGGTAAATATACTTTTGCCTCTTTAAAAGTCATTGGTAAGACCACACCTTGAATATGCTAAAGAAGGATTTTATGACACTAGAAAAAGTGCAGAGGTGGGCTACAAAATTAATAAAAGGAATTAAAGATTTTTGTTCTAAAGAAAGGTTAACAAAAGACATGTGCAATTTGTTTCGGTCCAAATGTGAATTCAGACAAATTTCAGCCAATTCAGGCATTCATATGTTTCCGAATGTCCGAATGTCCGAATGTCCGAATTGCTGAAGTGCCAATTGAACCAAATTGGCGAATTGCCAAAGTGCCAAATTTTGGAATTGCCGAGGTGCTTCAGATTTCTGAAAAGTGGATAAAACAAGAGAGGAAGGAAAAATTATGTGAATGATGACAGGGTTGGGGTTAGGGTAGGGTTATGGTAGGGTTAGGGTAGAGTAGGTTTGGGGTTAAGGTAGGGTAGGGTTAGAGGTAGGGGTAGGGATAGGGGAAGGGTTAGGGGTAGGATTAAGGTAGGGTTAGGGTAAGGATAGGGTTAGGGCTAGGGTTAGGGAGCCCTACAGATATATCGAATTGCCGAAGTCACAAATTTTGGAAGTGCCGAACAGAACTGAAGTGCCGAAGTCCCGAATTCACAAAGTCCCGAATTTTGGAATTGACAAACCAAACCGAAGTGCTAAAGTGCCGAAGTGCCAAATTTTTTTTCGTACCTGAATTTCCGATCTGAATTTTTTGATCATGCACATCCCTATTAACAAATTTAAATTTGTTTAGAAAAACAGTGCCTCAGAGGGAATATAAAAGCATTACATAAACACAAACCTTTGTGTGGAAATCTGTTCATAAACAGCACTATACATAGGACACAAGGTCAATTGTTCTTTACACTAAAAACAATAAGGATGGGGAATTATATGAAGATGTAGTTTTATCAGGCAGAAATCATTGACAGATTTGTTATCGCAATACATATTTTTTTTGTTGTTGTTTGTTTCAATGCACCCCATTAATTGTAAAAAGTAAATATCTAGGGATATGTGTTTAGATATTAGACTTTAGAGAAGTTTGGTTTCAAACATTTATGTTAGTTATGCTAATCAGTCATAGCTGTTTATTACAATAATATAGTCATACTTGCTGAAATAGACATTGACTTCATGTGACCTTGAAGGTTTGTAAAACATTCCTGAGTTCAAAGAAGAGTTTTGTTGTAAATCAGGTTCCTTGGTGGGAAAATAATGTTTATTGATCTGCAAGACTCCAGCATTTATACACAGAAACACAAAAATGTTAACCCATTTAGTGCAACATTAGAGATCAGCATGCTCCTCTCCCCTGTGGAACTGAAATGATAAGAAAAATGCATAGAAATGCATGCTGGGGCTTTTGAGAACCATTAATGTAAGTAGAGAGAGAGAGAGAGATGATTGGCTTTCCCATACTGAGAGTTGATTAAAAGACTGAGAGAATCACTCACTATAAAAAAAAAACAAAAAAAAAAACCCTTGATAAATAAAGCAAATTAAAGTCAGTTTGTCCAGAAACAATATCAAGGGAACCCCAGGATGTTGCTTCCATTCTCCTCCACCTAGTAGACTGACAGTTGGAGAATAATAGTTAATTAAGGTTAATAGTATAATAATAGTTAATGTATTGCCATCAACATTAATCATAGAGGAACAAAGTGTTGAAGTCTGATGAGAAATCTTGATGTCCTAATGATTTGTGAAACCATCTGCAGGCAGAAATGCATATTTGGTCCAAGGGAAATGCATATTTTTCTCGTTAGATCCCACTCAGCTGCACTACAAGAATTAGTGATGCAACGGATGGTCAAACACAGGTATTTCCTTACTGAAGGATGCAATATATGCTCTCCAACCAACCAAATACTATCTTCTGACTTTCAATTTCTGACTTTCAATTGTGCCATCATAACTCTCCGCTATATTTTTAGAATGATGAATTTTGAACAAAAATTTGGCGTTTACTTGAGTTGACAAAAACTGACAAAAAAATTTGACTTACAGACTATTTTTCCTCTATTTTAGACTTATTATTGCCACTTTGTTATAAACTCACCGCAACCCTAAGGTTTAGTGAATTAGCTGCTTTGAGTTTTTGAAATTAATCCTCATATTTTTTTTTACTCTTTTCAGGCCCATTTTCTTTTTGTCATTTTGCTAATTTTGGTACACAGTTATTCAGTTTTTCAAAAACACAACTCACGTATATGCTATAGTCAAACTGAGTTGTTGATCAGAAGCATTACATTTTATGATCAGGTCTAGAAAAACAAATTCCATTCATCCAGCTGACCATATTTCATTAAGTTGTTATTTATCTTTTGGGAACCCTCATAGGAAAATGAAAAATGAGCATTGTCTATCAACATGTCAGCTAGTGCCATGATTTATACTCACATTACAATTTGATCAAATAACTGATTTGAATGGAAACTAGTTAAAAAATGTTATTAGTATTGTGCCCTATGATGGATGATTAAGGACTTCATAACCTTTTGTCAGGGATCAATTTGTCATCTAACAACTTCATGGTGGGTTTCAATTTTTTTATGTATCATTGTTTTTTTAAAGTGTATTTATTGCAAGTGACAATGAGTATTGATTCAATTTGGCTTATAAGGATGCCAAGGAATTAAAAAAATATATAGTTGTATAGTTTTGGTAATATATTTTAACATTGGTTGTGTCTTGGATGAACAATTTACTGATGAACAATCAAAACATTGGTTGTTAATTAAGATGAAAAATGTATAATTTTTATGACATCTC